ATAATTGATTAAGTTTAATCATTGAAGTTATATCTCATATTGTATGAGTGTAAAGTAGCCATTCTAGAGAAAAAGGAAAACTCATGTATGTAATTTTCTAAAATAAATGCGATTTTAATGTACATAATTTTCACTATAGAGTGTCTTTTATAAGAAAAACAGGCTCTGGTTAACAAGCAAGAAAAAATATGAAAAAGACGTTATTTGTACATGTAATCTAACAACCAAGCTACATGATAAACGTGATGACTTTAAGTTTTCTATCGTCAACTTCCCTTTCTTACGCAGCAATATCCCTTCATCACCTGCATACGGAGTATATATATTTCAGTTGATTTGATACGCAAGAGCATGCTCTACGTATGAACAATTTCTAAAACGAGGTAATTATTGACAAACAAGTTGATGGAACAAGAATATCAACAGTCTCGTTTAAAGGCATCATTTCGGATATTCTATGGTCGATACAATGACCTTGTCAGCAAATACAATTCATCATTGAGACAAATGCTGACTGGGGGTTTTCATACTAATTGTTAGTCCATTATTTGTACACTGAATTGACAACGGATTTTTCCGTTATTACCTGATCATGACAAGGAGCACATGGCGGGTGTGATCGGTCCGCAGGGGATGCTCACTCCTCCATGGCTCCTGATCCCACCTCTGATGTTTCGGAGGTCCGTGTTTGCTCTGCTCCTATTTTGTATTGTTTTATGGATTTTGATATCGAATGCTGTTCGTTATCTCCACATCTTTTATTCAATACATTATTATACACCCGCTTGAAAAGCGGGAGCATAACTATATAGTAATCAGTATATCCGTGAGCTCATTGCTCATTATACCTCTAGTTTACTTATAGTTTTTTCAATAATTTATACCCCATTCAAGGATTCTACCGGGTGTCATTTTTAGCATGGAAAAAGATGTGAAGGTAGGCCTTTCAACTGCCGCTAGGGGTCGGTGTTATGAACGATAACTCACTGCTGAAACTTGTTTAGAGCAGGCTCGGGGTATCTAACTTTACACGCAAGGCAATTTTTAGCATTTCCCAAGTGTTTCTGTGCTCTCAGTCGAATCCAGTGGTTTTAAAATTTAGCACAAATGTTAAACTTATTTACTATATAGTTGCGGACACCGGTTTACTGCATATAATTAAAATTTTTGATTAAAATAAAAAGTGAAATCTACCCTCCTTCTCAGTTCTAACCTAATTATTTTTTTATACTCGGTCGTTCCCTTTCGTGCTTAGTAACACAAATAAGATGATCAATTGTTGCATTTACTTGTAAAAATATATATATTTACACAGGAAGCGAAAAAGTGCGAACGCAAAAAACTTGACATTAAATTTTTTCTTCATAATAATCGTCAAAGAGAGTTAAAACTATTGCATATAGTCTGTTTCCCATTCATTTGAACCTGTTAATTCAGGTAGAGTGAAGGCATTCTCTTTCTCTTGGTCAGAGCTGTTTGTGTACAAAACAATATAAGGAACCCTTTTGTGTATATAACAATACCAATGCTGAAGCAGCCTATATGTCATTCCTATAAACGATAACTCATAAATCGGCACTAAGTTGGTCATTTTTCACACCTGAGTTACCTGTCCTTAAACACAACATCGGAAAAGTCAATTATAAATGATTAAACCTTTTAATGATGTAATTAAAAGTATGCATAAGTTTTTATCTTTTTTGAAAATTTCATGTATCTATAAATCTATCTATACAATGTTTTTTACCATATGTGCAACTTGAAAAATTAGTTGAAAGGCCTAGTGAAGGTATATATTAAAGAGACAAAGGGGACGAACATTACACAACAACAACATGAAAGAGAAGTCAGGAATGCCGGTAAATCCGTAAAAGATATCGGTGGTTTTTAAGTCCTGCGTCGGATCTTTCATAGTGGTTGTCAAGTAATTGAATGTATTTAAATACATTTCAAAAAATGTCATGTATTTTCAATAACTTTTCAATTACATTTCAATAACATTTTTAAGTTAAAAGTTTAGTAAGGTGTTTTATTATGATGCATAATTTGCAAACATGTTTGGGCTATGCATGTTTGTTATGTGCTTGTCTTTATGCAATAATTATGTTTAATTTGTTTGGGTTCCCATTTGTTTCATCTTCGGAAACCCACGGGTGATCTCGTCTTTAGTTATCACCCGTGGGCAAATTCACCGAAATATCGCCATAAAATATGCTAATTTGTTGTTTTTAGTCAACCAATCAGAAAGTTGGAACTCTTCAATATTGAAAAATACGTTTATTACTTTGCTATTTATGGTAAATATTTTGACACTCATTTAAGAAGTTTGATTTAGAACAATGAAAATCAATTCGTACAGGTCACTGACATTAATATCCGTCAGATTTTATATAGGAGTACCTCTTTCTTACTGCAAAATGCGCCGGTGAGTGGATTTATTAGCTGTGTAGACTACGGAATGAGTTTTTCATGTTTTTGGCAATGCCGAACATGGATACGTAACGTGAATTGTAATTCGTTGTTTGGCATCGCGACTCTGCGAAGCAACCAATCAAATAACACATGCATATTTAATTACATCAAACGATTTTTCGGCGAGTTTGCCCACGGGTGATAAGTAAAGACGAGATCACCCGTGGGTTTCCGACGATGCATTTGTTTATACAGCATGACACACAGCAATAGGTAAACTCTAATTTTGTTCAGGTGTGAACCACACCTCTCATACTAGAATAACTTGGATAGTCGAATTTGTCTTCATGTCATACATGAGAGAGTGAAAGATAATTTTGTACAGAATTTATTATGTGATATGAATAAAGAGTCAAAGTATAGTATATCTAAAAACTTGATTAGTAACTTGTGTCTACAGTTTTACTTGGTGAAGCCTATTCCAAAAATGTTTAAGAGATGTATTTCTAAAATTCTTTTGTCCACACACAACTTATTAATTGAAACTGGTAGGCACAAAAATATACCAAGAGACCAAAGCTTTTGTCCAATTTGTAAATCACGTAACCCTAGCCCTAACCTAACCCGTTACAAAGATATAGAGGATGAATATCATTACATAAAATTGAGAAAAAGAAATATTAAAAAATATATTACTGGAGTAACTCCTCTGTGTTTAAATTTATACAGCTCGTTAGAGTTTATAATGTCAAAGAACTCTGTAACCTTGGAAAATATATTGTGAAATTAGGAACTGCCAATAATTAATCTGTTTGTTATATATAAACTTTACATGCATGTCGTATTTGTTACATTTGTATATCTGTAAAGGACAGTTGTAAGACCCCTGTCATACAATATCATCGTTACTTTATTTTTTCTTTCATATGTACAACCGTTCCTTTTCCTATGTAAATATTATTGTACATTTTGTAATATGCCATAGGATGTTTATCCTGAGCAATAAATAAATTACAAAATACCTAGGAACAAAAATACTGAATAAAAGTCCCCTATAGAGAAACATATTGTCAAGAACCAAAAATGAATTCAAGATTACTAGATGGATTTACCTGAAAAGAGTTTGTTGTCGTGCATGGTGTGATACTGTGTTTGAAAATCTGATGATGATTAAAACGAACTCAAAACTGTAGATACATTTCAGTACATATTATGCATGTATATGTTTTTCAAGATTTTTTGAAATAAAACTGAAGTAATTGAAATGTATTTAATTACATTTGCCTAGTAATTGAGAGTAATTGTAATTGTAAGTATTTGACAAAATCATGAATGTATTTGAAAGTACATGTATTTAATTAAAATTCAAAGTAATTGACCCCAACCCTGATATTGTGACTAATATTGTCTGGGCCTATTGCCTATATCACAGCGTTTTCTTGTGAAAGGTTTGCTTTTCTGGAAAAAAATCTTGCTCATCAATTCGTCCGTTTTCCTGCCCTTTTCAGTTTTGTTCAATCCATCTCTATCATTCTCTAAAAGAGTGTCCATCTTTTACTTAACAAAATTCCAGCAAATGTAAATTAGTTTGCCCAAGTGTTGGATATTATGTACCATGTACCCCTGAATAGGAGATAGACCCATCTGCCGCCACACCTACTGCCTACTGATCTTTCCAAACCGTTTGAATTTGGGAGGGGGGCTTTGACATTCCTTATCAAAATCCCAAATATGTTCAATGGGATTCAGATCCGGGAATTTGGCGGTGCATCATTACACAGATGCCTTTTGGTCAATATCCTTTTGCGTTTAGCACGTAAGTGCACCGCTTTAAGGTCGATTGAAACTGTCTGAGATGATATTAGATTGCCACGAGCACCGATTTCTTATCATTTTCATACGATTAATATTGTTTGTTTTCATGTTTCTAAAATTGTTTCTGGACAATTTAACATTCTTGTAACCTGGTGTGACTCAAAACCTTGGTCTCAGACAAAGATCCAGATCACTTCCGGTCTGGTTAAATTTTGTCCAAAGCTTTCAAATTGTGATAAATTGGCGATAAAAATGACGCACAGCCTATAGAAAAATGTGTTTCAATGGGTTTTGTAACTGGTTATCAATTTTCAAAAGTAATAACAAGGACAATTTCAAACTAAAATGAAAGTGGGTAAAACGTGTTCCATATATCAACATTCCAACTGCTCTCCCTTCTTTCTCAATTGTCATTTTGCCTCTGATGTTTTTGAGGTCTGTGTTTGCTCTGTTCTTATTTTGTATTGTTTTATGGACTTTTGATCTTCATTACTGTTCGTTATCTCCATATACGTATTTCATTTCAGGATTAGCCACATAGAAAGGAATCGTTTCAGTTGGACTATCTAAATTCGCAGAACTTTCTTTAGCATACTGACCTTCTGAAAATTTTAAAATGACAAATCTTCAATGAAATTTGCACTTCAAAAAAAGATTTTTTTTCTATTCAGATACCCTTTTTAACATTACTTTGCAGATATTTTCATCCAACAACAGACGCATAAGTTTCGCAATCAACTGAGGTAAAAAATAGACAAAAACGGAATGACGTTTATTTCCTTGTGTTACAGGGTTGTTGCTCTGAGCGCATTTCAGAAATGGCACTCAAAATTCATATAAATTTTCTGACGTAAAATGACAAGTGAACTCAATGTGTCTTCTTTGTCAAAAAACACTGTATATCACGATAAACAAAAGCAAAAGTAATGGTATGAAGTAAAGAAAATATCTTTTGTTGACTAGAAATGCTTAATTTTGAAACTGATAAGTAAAATGTCAAGCACATGCTTTTCTATTTCGCATGGACTAGATAATGTACGAGATTCACCAGGTTCTCCAAACCACATTTAGACTTCAATAGTCCCTCTATTGGTATAAATCCCCTTATTTTCTTTGTTGATGCTATCCTCCACCATTTCACACAGACAAGCTCTGTCGTTCCTGGTCCTATGACGTTTACTGGCGCTCTCCGGTAAAGAAGACCAGTTTAATAAGCCATTTCTCTGCTGCAGATCTTCCAACTTTCTCTCAATCAAGGCATCTGCACTTGTCTAAACACAAAACTTCACGGAATAACTCTATCCTAACTAGGTTCTATTAAAGCTAAAGAAATATATATAACTTTTTGCTAAAAGTAAAATAAGTTTCTCCATGACATACCTTTATATCGTTTTCATTCATTATCGGTTTCTTTTTCTTCAGCATTAGACAAACATAATTCTGCAAGTAACAATATTGTGTAAAGTACAGTGTACATGTGATATGCTGGTAGTTCTGAGATTTTTTTTTCTAAATCGATGAGTTATGATTATGGAGTGCAGTGTCTCACTTACTCTGCATTCAGTGGTATCGTACTTAAAAATGTTCAGCTGATCAAATATGTAAGGAGAAAAAATGAATAAAGGGAAGGGCGTGTATATATATTTATAAATATGAACAAATATTTATTTCTAAACATGTACTCTTAAAGCTTCTCAAGGATACAGTGGGCTTGGAGACGTTGCTGTCATCATAGACGATCAAACATTTACTATTCTGGTAGAACTTTGCATTTAGACGAAACACGGTGATGTAAGTAGATGACGATAGCTGCAAAATTATACAGAGATTATTAATTTATTATCCATCAAATACTTTTAAAGAAGATGGGCGAAGAAAGCTTGCAAAACGATTATAAATAAACGTTTAATTCAAATTTAACAGACTCTTTGCAAGTTCATGTATAGATCTATGCTATGTATATGTACAAGAATTTTGCCGTTTGTTTATAAATGTATAAAAGTAATATTTCAATTCATGAATTCAGTGTGTAGTTAAAGTTCTTATGATAAATTAAAAAATTGTTTTTTGACAAAAACCATTCTATGATTTTTTTAAAAGTTGGTACTCCCAAAGCAATATCTTAATCAATAGATCAAATTATCTTATTATCTTCAGTTTAATGTTAATTTAACACTAAAGATATTAAATTTCTTAACAAGTTTACGACAGCTAGAAATTTAAATACTCACGTTTCTTCTACAGATATACATAAAACACAGTGAACACGGGCAAACCAAAACGACAAGACAACACCCAATGATCGTCAGGTAAATTGCAATATCCCGGAAATCGTCCCACCAGATAAAATCATATCCGGCACAAATGCAAACAATTATCACAATTATTCCACATAAAAACAGAAAACGCCATTTGGAAACAAAAAGTGGGTAATTCCGAAAGAGAGTTCTTGAATTTAAATCATCCATAAGGGCGTTGTAATGCTGAGTACACTGAAAATATATTTTCATTGTTTTAAAAAAGAATAAGAGCCTCTCATTACTATAAACTTACTACCTTATAATAATTATTGGCCAAACAAAACTTTCTGTAAAAAGGATATTTATTGATATAGACTATACATCTCTCTTCTCATAAACCCTTGGCTTATGGTGTTGAACAAAAGTTGGGATTTTTTTCTTTAGTTGTGATTGGAGTGGATGGACATCATTCGACCAATCCGCATTTTTTTTTTTTTTGGTAAATGACGATATCTGTGTTCGGGGTATATATCTTGATTCTTTAATCTCGGGAAATAATTTCTGTCGGTGACGTATTCTGTGCGTACCTGGTAAGAATCGAGAGCACGTGACGAAAATAATCCTTTCTTCTGACAGCACCATAGGCCAAGGGTTAATGACGAGAGTAGAGTATCGGAAAGCCCTGGCTAGCGAATATGCTTAAAGTATTAACTGGAACATGAACATGAAGTTTTCCAATACCTCCATGGGACTGAGGTCAAAAGAGGCGATTTTCTCTTTTTCGCGATCTTCCAATGGATGAAATCTGTAAGAGTTGCCATGGTCAAAAAATTTTGCTTTTGAGGCAAATTTCTGACATAGAAAGGTTCCATTATATGTTTGAAAGGCAACATTGTCCACTACAAATAGAAAAGTGTGTTTCCTTTTAAATACAGTACAACATATATTTACATGCATGTACAGATAGAGTTGAATATAAAGCATTTATTTTTAAGTTTCCGTTTTTCTGTATATATCAAAAGACTTAACAACTCAACTGATATACAGTTATAACTGCCAGTTAAAGGGGAAACGAAGGCAACAATCTCAAACTCACCATTCCGTTTTTTATGCAATGGATCAATAGAATCTGAAAAAAAAATTATACAATTCTAATATATAATCATAATACATGTAATTCAAACCTTTTACTATATCGTTGGGCCTTAAAAAGAATTGTGTGTTTAGGGTAACACTGTTGACAAAATTAGGGTAGGTAGGTAGGGTTTTTTTTTTTTTTTTTTGATTTTTTTTTTTGGTATTCATGACCACTGGAATGTAAATAGAAAATCATGAGAATATTATTTCGTATTATATTTAATACCACCATGTTTGAAAAACATCAGACAACTAAATTTTCCCGAGTTTCATGTCGTTTTTAATTTAATATTTTAATTTTCTCTTCATTTCAGTGCATATGAGTGGTTAAGTTCCAAATATGTGTTTAACCCTTGTGGGTACAATCAGAGTGGTTTCGTTCTGAATTAAAAAGATAGCAGTTTTTATTGGATAATTTAAAATTATTTTATTGAATCTCTTCTGCATAAAAAGAACTTTCATTTTCACACAAGTCAAATATACTTAATCATTAACTGATTATCCTAATTATTACAAAATATACATATATGTTTATTCTCCAATCAAGGGTCCTTTATAGGGGCATATACAATTATTTTAGTATGATTACATATAAATTATATTAAAGAATATTGTAATATGAAATATTATTATATGATTGAATAATTTCCATCTCTCTGATTGGCTGAGATCCAACTATGTTAGAAAAATACTACGTTGTATTGACCTGCACGTGACGTTCCAGGTCAATACAAGGATTTATTTACTCTACATTGATCTAAAAATAGATTGGGAAATTCCAAATTGATACAAATTGTTTTGGAAAGCTATTTAAACGACTATGATTTTTATTTTCATGTGAACAAAACATAAGCAAATATATATTTTAGGGTGAGGGTGGTAAGAGGGGATGCAGGGACCCCCCTCCAACACTTTTACTGAACAACATTTTTTTTTACTTTTTGGCAGTCAGTTTTCCCTGAAATACCCCTTCCTTTCAAAATCTATCCTATAAAAAAGACTGACATATATGTTTTCATGGCAACTAAAATTGAAAAAAAACACATTTCAAATTGATACGACTGGTAAGGTTTATTCACATTTTAATTCTGCTTCTCTCTTGTATTTGGCTAGGACTTAATTAAATGCAAACAAGTAATGAGCTGTATCATTTTATCAGTGAATCATATAATAAAACAATCATTGCTGTTTTTTCGGTCAATACAATGATTTAGCCATCTTCGAAGTACAATATTCACCTCGCCCTTCGGGCTCGGTGAATATTGTACTCCTCAGATGGCTAAATCATTGTATTGACCTCAAAAAACAGCAATAATTGTATAATATTAATCATATCCATCATGATGGTACAAATGAAAGATTGTAAAATACCAAGTAAAAGACTAGAGTTTGAAAAATATTTACATATTAATGTGTTTAATTTTCATATATAATTGCATGAAAATGCAACATATATTAAAGCAAGTCTTAAATGGGGTCAAATATATTACATATGTATTTATATTATGCAGTTTGAATTCAGAACAATGAATTATTTCATCTATATTTCATTTTATACAAATCATTATCATATTAATTTTGAAGCAATTATAAATATTTATTTCAGTGAAGGTTTTTGATCTTCAGAGAAGGCTTTAATTGTGTTAATGTTTTTGTTATCTAGTTATTGTTTAGAGTGTAGCTTGTCCTTGCGTTTGTGGGTTCTTAGAACTTCTTTTCAGAACATTCAAACAAGCTTTTCTGTATGAAAAAAGCCATCTAAAATACTCTAATACACATTCATCAAAATCTTTAATTTTTTACCGAAAATCTTTTCGAAATATAGAAAAACATTTTATTATATGTACCTGTGGCACAGTCTGTGCGTTTTTAAACACGTTGGTTCACCTGTGGGCATTTGTACAAATAGGATTATAGATTTTATACATACGCAGTACGAAACCACGCGGGTCGAACACGTAATCAGAACGTAAACACCCAATACCATTTCAGCTATGTCACAATACTTTTAAAGTACAGAAATTATCAAAAAAGTTTCCCTCCATGCTGTCGAATCCGTCATAAAAACGCTTGCATGTTGACTTTAATTCCGTTCATGTTGACTGTAAGCCTAAGCGTTTTAAAGACGTTTCTTAGGAACGAAAAAGTAATTATCTGATAAAAACGGATTTTACATAAGAAATAAAAGGAACTTTAATCGGATAAAAACGGACATAGAAAAAAACGTTAGGATCGTCGCATGTTTTTAGGGTAGGTCGGGTTACCCGAAACACACAATTTTTTTTCTAGGCCTTGTGCAGACATACGTGTATATGGTTTTAAAAGAGAGCAACATACATTTTCTTTTAATGTTTTATCTTGATCAAAACATATAATAGATACTAAGGATTTCTTGAATTGAAGAGGGAAATTAAAAGAAGAGAGATTGTGATGAGAGAAGAGGGGAGGAAATTTAATTTAACTTAAATTTTTACCAAGCCCAAAGATAAGAGGTAAGATTGAACACGCACCTATTCTCTTTAGAGAAGTGGACAGGCTTTTGTCAATATGTACATCCGTAGGCGAAAGCCTGTCCACTTTTCTAAAGAGCATAATATACACCGTGAAAATGACCACATACAAATCTGTGAAAATAAAGAAAGAACCATTTACCTGGATTCAGATACGCCTCATATATTTTTGCTGGAACGTCAATCTCTTTTTGTGCGTCGATGTAAATGTAGGACTTCAAAAAGGGAGGTAAATCTTTTCCCAGAGGCCGAAGAAGTAACGGAATCACGTTAACATCGGAAAACCCCGTGAAAGACAATTGAGCTGCTTCACGTGCTTCAGTCACGCACCAGTGACTCTGTAAATAGTTTGGACTCAAAATAATAAGAACTTTGACACTTTTGCGCATATTGTCTGCAATGTTGTCGTCAATATTTTTCCCGGGCACGAAATCCCTCTCGAAGTTCATACATTTCATATGAAACCTCTGTTCCATACACTCACAGATTTTGTTTGCATCATCCCGGTCATCTGAACTGTAAGATATAAATAAATGATACTTTTTGTCCGCCTGCAGAGGTAAAACTCTTTGTTCACTGTAGTCTTCATTCTGTATAGATTGTGAAATTAATTCTCCAGACTCGAGGCAATTCGCCTTCTCCTCACGAACCACATATGGTATAGGAATAGACAGCTCGTTTTCAGATTCACTGTCAGATATGTCATCACCAACATTGTTCAAGAGCAGAGGCAATCTATCTGCTGCCATGGCTTCTTCTTTTTAAAGCGAAGTGATTTCCTACTTTTCCTTTCGGTTTTATTTCTAAAAATTACGGAATCCAGGTTGTGTGTTTATCTTTTAAGACTTGTTGGCGTTTGGTCTGTTGCTAAGGCCTCCTAATGTCCTTCATGTAAGACGTTTATTACGTTGCAGTAGTTATCATTTTTTTGTCTTTATTACATTCTTCTTTCAGTAAAAATCAAAGCATTTCCTGCTACATGTTGCTAAAGTAAATCTTTTTGAGAAAACGATATACAATTATTTCGCATAAAGGACACCTTACACTTGTTGCCTAAAGCGAGGTTTATGATTCAACTTGATCGCTGCAGCAATGCGTGAAGTTATAAAACATTTAGTTTATTTGATCTATATATCGACTTATTTCATGCCCTCCATACAAGTAAGTATATTTTACTGTATTTTTAAATTAATATGCTTTCTGTGGCTATTTCAAGTGCATTAAGCCTGTTTGTTATTCATTAACGAATACTATTTTTAGATCTAGAAGAAAATGCATACGGCTAGCCAAAAATAGATGGGAATTTACGGGAGCTATTTAAATTCTAGTACTCTGTTGTCTTATATGTTTATGTACTGTTAGGTCTATGGGAGGGGAAACAATCAAAGAAAAAGTGCATTGAAATGAATAAAGTGGAAAAAACATAAAGAAGGTACATTTTAGGTTTTCCATCGTTTATGTGTTGGCAAATTATTTTTTTGCGGAGGTGGGGGGGGGTCATCGTTCCGTCTGGCCTAATATAGTTAAATCCCTAAAAATCGTTTATCTTTAAATATCATTAGATCTAGGTTTTTAGCCAAAATATATACTGTGACCAGTTTCACTTTAGACTTAAGACATGTATCCAGTTGTCTTAAGATTTTGATAGATCTTAAGATTTTCATAAGATATGACAGTTTTGTGAAACAGCTATGGTGCAATCTAAAGATAATTTTCGGTCTTAATGTATTACTGTGTGTATTTGCCTTATAAATTAATAGAGAGGTTGAGATTTCAAACGTGTACGTGTACGGGTACGTGTAGAAGGGGAATAACCTAAATTCTGTGTGTATTACGTCATCAATTTTAGTGACGTCAAGATTGCTACACGTTCGTAAAACTTGTAGAATGGAATCTACACGTAAGTCAAAACGTGTAGCTTTAATAATAAAAATAAGCCAGTTTAAGTGTGAAAATGTGATTATTATACATTATATAGGATGTTTAGTTTCAGGATCACTTATTTTCATCAAGTTTTTTTTTTACGAACTGTACTTAAACTGACGACAAAAAATTGTAAGTAGTTGAAACAGGGGCACATGTACATGTTACACTTCATAAAAATCTCAACAGAAAAATAAAAAAAACTTGTACGTGTACGTCAAAATATATACAAGTACACGTACACGTACAAGTTTAAGATCTCAACCTCTCGTTTGTACTTTTTGAATGATAATATATATAAGAAAATATTAATATAGTGGTAAAAATGCTTTGACATTTGTATTTACAATGATAGATAATAAAATTTAAAACGTGATTTGGGGATTTTCAAAACCCCGACTAAAAATACCTCAAGAACGAAAAGAAGACCACCACCCACTCCAAGTTAAGAAGAATACGAATAAGATGCTAAATAAAAACAACAACCGTCAAATGATATATAATTATATTTATCTTATCTCACGCTACAGCTCACAATGTCTTTTTTTATATAGTACCTGATTTCAATGTCTCGGCCAATTTTCATGTAATAAAGAAACCGTACTCTGTTCGAAAGAAAATGTTCCGGAATTTGTATGAGCGGTATCTGTTGAAAATTGGCTTGTATTTCTTGATATTCAAAGTTATTGATAATAAAATTGCACAACATTTTAATTAGAAATACTATTTTATACATCCTGAAAATAAAAATAATTCCGTTTCCTCAGGTATTCTGTAAAATAAGGGCGAAAAAAGGGAGCAAGCTACTATACTTAAGTGGAATACTCCTTTTACCAGTGGTGGAATAATAACACATGTACACTGTATCTAACCTTACCAAACATGTATGTACTAGTCTTTTTTGCTTTAGGAGAAAACGCATTAGAATATTGTTTGATACCATCTGCAAGTTTATTTTACCAAAGTTTTCCCATACATGTACAAATTCGCACACTTGCGTTGTTTATCTCTTTTTTATACGTAAACTGGTAAAAACATGGCTCTCCGACTGGAAGAAACATTTCAAACCATTTTATCCCTGACAGAATGGATTAAAAATATCTTGAAAACTATATTTCACTTCGTTCATTTTATTCGTTCATCAAAAAGTGTTTGTAAAACTTCTTTGAGCTCTCCTACATACGCCAACCTTGTTTAATCTTGTTTTTCAACAGATTGACATTAATTTAACTAAATTTATTTAACAAAGGAACAAGATGTAAGATGCCTTCCAACAGAAGTAATTGTTCGAGT